ACTGTGGGATGGGTGACCGACATTTGGCTGCTACTACTGTGGGATGGGTGACTGACATTTGGCTGCTGCTACTGTGGGATGGGTGACCGGCATTTGGCTGCTACTACTATGGGATGGGTGACCGACATTTGGCTGCTACAACGGAAATATGATTTGATTAGGACTAGAGGTCTGTCTCTCTCTCTCTCTCTCTCTCTCTCTCTCTCTCTCTCTCTCTCTCTCTCTCTCTCTCCCTCCCTCTCACTCTTTCTCTCTCTCTCTCCCTTTTCATCTTGCCCTCTCTCCCCCTTCCCCTCACATAGCATATAACTAACCCTTCATCCCTCATTTGTTACATTGCCAGGGGACGAACTGTAAAAGGAAATTGGGCCTCACTTGGTGGAAAAAGAGGGCAAGGGAAGGGTAGCCAGTCCCTTGTGCCGCCAAGAAGAAAAAGGATAAGGACATTTGAAAGATTGGGAGAAGGCGGGGCCCGAGAAAAACTATAATTTAAAGCAAGGTCAGTTTGACTCAACCATTTCCCCAACTGCATGACTACATGAAGAGAATGGGCTGATTGAGCACAAAGAAAAGCCAAAGAAAAAGGAAAGTTAGGCATGCGGGAGGGGCTATGTGTTGACCCCCAATGGGGGATTGTATTGGTCCTTGCTTTGTGTGGGATGTTGCAGGTGAGTAAAGGCTCGGGACGCCTTGAGCGGGACAGGACCGGAAGGGACCGAGCGGCAAAGAAAAAAAGGAAGAGGGGACAAGGGGGGCTACGGGACCCATAGCGTAAACCATGGGAGTGACCCTTGTGCATGTGACTTAGAGTGTAAAAGAAAGAAAGAAGTGCAACCTTACTAAGCGGATTGTGAAGTGGCATGTGCATGTGTATGATGGCCCAAAAAAAACTAAGGGGCCTGCTTCAATCATGATGGATGGAGTGCATGAGACCCGAGGAGTGAGTAGAGGCGAGGGGAAAGACGGTCTTGCCGCACCCCGATGACGCCATAGGATTGCAATGTTTTAGGGAAATGGTGTGTGGCCTAAGGATGACGCTTAGCCTGCGCGCAAGAAAAGAAGAGCTCTCAAAGAATCCCTGGACTGCCTGCGTATTGGAAGGAGCATTTGCATGCCAACCCAACTAAGAAAAAAAAAACAAATCAGAGTTTGAAGAACGACCAGCGAGACTAGCACCCGGTGTGACGGTTGAGCTACATCCCCAATGTCAAAACTCTCTCGCTCGATGGCCCATCCCCATCCATCTCAAAGCACTAGGTGGAGGTGACCCTGGGACGAACGGCCCGCGCCCTGAGCATGAGCGTGGGCGGGCTGAGCCAAATGGGACCCACAGTGGGGTCGACCAAGGCTCGAAAGTCTACCGGGGTTTGGCCCTACACCGACCTACCTTCTGTTTCCCGGACCCCTTAGCCTTTTCCATAATAGGAGCGACTACTCCACCATCTGAAGTCTCTATACTCCCATCTATCTTTGTTTCTTCCCCAAGGTCAGCGAAGTCATCAATCTTAGTTGCTTGACCATCATGTTCATCATGGTCAACGAACATGAGATTGCCTTTCTTCCTCTAGTCTTGAGGGAGCTTCTTCTTTCTCCCATCTACCGGTCCCTGTTGGGCACTCCCAAGCCAAGCCTCATCGTCTAAGGCCTTCTTGCTGAAAGAAGCAAAGTCATATACATCAATCGAAGCCTCATCGACCAACTTATTTTTGACATTTGTAGGCAAACATCGCAAATAAATTGTCAAGAGGACTTGCGGTTCGTACCGCGCACCAGGGACAACAATCAACCGCTCTACGACATTTGTTACCTCGCGAACTGTGCAGTATCTCTTCAATGCCATACTAGCCAACGAGTCGGTGGTCTACTGAGCCCCTTGGGGATCATGCCACCTGTTGTAAACTAACCGTACAAACTTCTCCAATGATCTGGCCTTTGCCCAACCATTGAAATTTTGACCGTAGCCTTGCTGCCTTAGTAATTTATTCAACCACCTGGTTGCAGATCCTTCAAGAATGGATGCAACAACAATGACTTTCTCTTCTGTCCTAGTGAGCTTGTGCCTCACATAAGCAGGCACAGTCCTCACCCAGGTATCCAGGTCCTCTTCCTTCTTCTTGTCGCCAGAGAAGGGCTTAGGACTCAACAAGGGTATTTTGGGGGTCCACTGCATACGTTGTACAACACCCTGTGCCTGCTGCATCGGTTAAGTAACCGATGGAACAGGTCGCTGCCGCAACACTTGTTGCTACAACGACACTTGCTGCTGCTGCGACTGACTCTGTTGCAAGGGTTGCTGCACTTGTGGCTGCCCTGTAGCAGCAACCACCGGTTGGGGAAATGAAGAAGGTTGTAGAAAAATCTGCCCACTACTACCTACTACTAGTCCGCCTGTTGGAGGTATGCCAAATTGAGGGAAAAAGGGTTGC